CCCTTCCTTCCTTTCTTGGACATCAGTCTCAATGTATTGAGGCACCCATTCTTCAGAGTGAACTAATACATGTTGGACTGGTGGACTGGGGGCTATGGGGTGGGACTGGGTTTACCCTGCTTTGGGGTGGTGGAAACAAACCTGACTCTGTGTACCCCTTCTGGATACATAGAGTAAGGATTGGGTGCCTGGTTAGGATGTCTCTACATCCTCTTCTTTCTTTCTCCCCCCCCCCCCTCCTCCCTTCTTTCTTTATTTCCTTTCTTTTCTCTCCTGTCCTTTTTTTCTCCAGGGATCGTAACCATGATTCATGTTACCAATCATTCTTCAGATTGGCCACGATACATGGTGAGGTCCTTTGGCCTTGGTTGATAACTTGGACGCTGTTTGAACTGATTTTTGTTGAGGTACCATCTGGATTAGTCACCACATCTCGGATAGGTGACTAAACTCAACACTTGGAAGATGGGAACCTTTGGAAGACTTGAATAAACTTGGGACCTGTAAGGATTTTGGACTGGAATATGACAAGGGACCTGGAATTTGCAAGATTGGGGTACACCACATTCTTCAGACAGATGGTGTGGGATTGAGGTAGGTAATACCACTGCATTGGGCCTCCATGATCGGGGTGAAGGCACTGACTGTGTATACTTTGGAGCTCCAAACCAACCCTGTGCTGTAGAAAAGAGTACCACTCTTTGCAGGGAATTGAGATCACCTACCAGAACATGGGAGCTGCAAGGACATAGGACTGGACCTCTGACATTGGAACTAGGGTTGCAAAGCTGGGCTACTTCAGATCCATCAGACAGCTTGGGAATGGATTGAGGAATTCCCCTGCACCTGGAACTACCTGAAGATTGTATGGGTGTGGTTATCGATTGTGTTTACCATGGTGTTTCAAACCAACCCTGTGCTGTAGAAGAGAGTACCACTCTTCGAAGGGAATTGGGATCACTTCAGGCTTGCTTCACAAGGAAACTGCTGCTTGTTCATCGTTTGGTGTTTGGTTCAACCTGATGGTTTTACGTCTGTATTTCGAAATTTGTTTGGTTGGGCCTCCCTATTTTGAAGGAAATGGTTAGGCCATGCTTGTAATTCTTGTAATGCTATGTTGTAATGATGCTGCTTGTATTTTCTAATTATGCGTGTAACCATGTTTATGGTTAAGCATGTAACATTGATGTACTTGTTTGATTGGGTAATAATAATTTACATCTTACCCTTGAAGGACTCACACCTCTTTAAAAGGATGTCTTCTGTCAGGGATTTGATGGTTGAAAAGTGTGGGGATTCCCAAAACATTGGAGACTATATGCAATCCTTTTGTGACAATGGAAAGCTGAACACTTCCAAGATTTATGATCTCATCAGAACAAAAAATCAGTCCAAGCCTTGGATGAAATTCATTTGGCAGACCTATATTCCTCCTAGATTTTCCTTTACTACATGGTTAGCCTTTCGTAGGCGTCTTCCTACAAAGGTTAACTTAGCTTATGTAGAAATGGAAAACAGGAATTATGCACTCTGTCATATGGACATGGAAACCTCTGAACATCTGTTTTTCTCTTGCCATTTCGCTGCCCAGATCTGGAATGGTATCAAAAGCTGGCTCAACATTGATGCCTCTCTTTCAACCTTAAAACGTGCTATTAAATGGTTGAGAAGACAGCATGCAGTGCATTCTAACAGAAAGAAGCTTTGCAGACTGGGGACTCTTAGCACAATTTATCATATTTGGAGACTGAGGAATAGTGTTTACTTTGAGAACACTGAGATTGATGTCCACCATACTATACAGCAGATTAAACTCAGTGTGTACAAAGTTATGTACAAACTCTTTCCTAGTAACTCTGACACTTTGTTTGGTAGAGGAGGGGGCTTAGTTTGGATTGGTTGCTGATTGTCCTGGACTCAGTGTGGGGTGTTGATGGTGCTTTGGCTGTTGGTAATCTGTTTTCTCTCTGGGCCTTGGGTTGGAAACTGACCATACCATAATCACCTTTATTTTATAAGGGTGACTATTGTATGGTCTAGGTCCAGGGTGGGCTGGCCTCTTCCTTGGGGTGGTAGGAAACAGCTCTAACTCTTAATACCCCTTCTGGATATTAAGAGGAAGAGTTGGGTCCTGGTTGAGGTTTTCCCTCCTTTCTTTTCCTTTGCTTTTTCCCCTCTTTCCCCTTCTAGCTGTTTCTCTTCTTTTCTCCAGTTCTTTTTGCTTTCTCTCCTTCTTTGCCTCCCCTCTCCTCCCAGTCTTTCTTCCCTTCTGTTCTCTCCTCTCCTCTGCTTTGCTTTCTTGGAAACAGACCAAAGTAAACTCACCTAACTTTCTTTGCTGGGTTAGGGTACTTTGGCCTGGTTCCACTTGCGTGGTCTTATGTCTGGATTTGTGAACCTCTGGTGGTTTTTGGTTTTTCTGATTGAACCTGTTAGATTGGACTGTTGATGATTACCTAGCAGGACACAACCTCCTGATGAACCTCTTGAGGGATCTTTT